ATATATGAAATCAACAAATATATGAAAAAGTGTTCAACATCTCTAGTAATTAGAGAAATACAAATTAAAACTACACTGAGATTCCACCTCACTCTAGTCAGAATGGCAATTATCAAGAACACAAGTTAACAACAAATATTGGTGAGGATGTGGGGAAAAGGTTCACTGATACATTGCTGGTGGGACTGCAAATTGGTGCAACCACTCTGGAAAGCAGTATGGCGATTTCTCAAAAAACTAGGAATGAAACCACCATTTGACCTTGACCTAGCTATCCCACTCCTCAGCATATATCCAAAAATTAAAATCAGCATACTACAGTGACACAGCCACATAAATGTTTATAGCAGCACAATTCACAATGGCTAAGCTATGGAACCAAACTAGGTGCCCTACAACAGATGAATGGATAAAGAAATTGTGAGATATGTATATACATACATTCATACACACACACACACACACACACACACACACACATACATACAATGGAATACTACTCAGCCATAAAGAAGAATGTCTTTATGACATTTGCTGGTAAATGGATGGATCTAGAGTTATCATGCTAGGTGAAATGAGCCAATCCCAAAAAACCAAAAGTCAAATGTTTTCGCTGATATGTAGAAGCAAGGGGGAGGGGAAGAAGAGAAGTTTAGTAGATTAGACAATGGGAAATGAAAGAAGGGAAGAGGGATAGGGATAGGAAAGACAGTAGAATAAATACAACTTGATTTTCCTGCGTACCAATCTGAAAACACTTAAGTGCATCCCACCATCGTGTGCAACCACAAGAATGGGGTCCTACTTAGAATAAGATATATCTTGTGCTTGTACAATTTTATCAAAATGGATTCTACTGTTCTATATAACTAAGAAGAATCAATGAAGTAGTAAAGCTTTTTAAAAATACATAATTTTAACCACCCTCTGCATCAAAGTATTTACCTCCCCAACACCTTCAGGATAGAATCTGTTCTCCTGACCCCACTCAGGTATTTGGATGGGCTCCCCATGCGCCCACTGTGCCAGACTTTGGCAGACCAGGGCGGGCCCTGTCACAGTCTCCTCGTGCCTGCATGAGTGACCCTCATGCACACCGTGGAGTGGAGACATCAGTCCCTCCTGTATCTGCCTGACCAACTTCTAGTCCAGCTTGAGAATAAGCTCAAAAATCATCTCCTCCAAATGCCTCAGTCTCCCCCAGGTTTGGCTGCACCAAGCAGCTCTGGTTTCACTTTTGAGCCCACAAATCAAACAGCTCCGAGTGTGAAGTGTGGGTCCTTCCCACCCTGGGTGCTCTCGGGCATATTAACCTACCAAGGTGTCACGGTCCTCCTCTGTCAGACACGGGTCCTGAATCCTACGCCACAGCGGTCTCTGGGAGAAGTCAGTGAGCTCACGGCCTCACCCTCTTCCAAACTGTGACACCCTCAGACACTCTTCACCATGTGGATCCCCGAGAGTTTGCAGGACCTCTGCCCTTGAAGGGGCCCCCAAATTGTCTTGTGAACGAATGACACTAGTGACGTGGAAAAGGACCTGTTGCCAGGCTTTCCCTGGCAAGGCAGAGTGGCATGGCTCTGCGTGCAGATCCACAGGGATGCTTGGGGAAGTGTCGCGGCTTGGCGACGCGGTGTCCCTAGACCGTGCCAGACCATGTAGAGGGGAAATGATTGGCTTGTCAGCGTCTTGACCTACTCGGTGCAGTAATCTGCGGATAGGGATTGATTGGGTGGTAACTCTAGGCAGGTAGGGTGTGGCTGGAGGAAATGGATCATGGCTGGGAGGGGGGCACGTGCCTTTGGGGTTTATATTTTCTCCATGGTTCGGGGAGTTATCTCTCTGCTTCCTGACCTTTTGGGGACTGTGAAGGTGACTCTGCCATGCCCAGAGCTGCTTTCCTCCTCCACACCTTTTCCCCGTGATGTTCTGCCTCCCCGTGGGTCCAGAGCCGTGGAGTCGGCCACCTGTGGACGGAGACTTCTGAAACCCTGAGCCCCAAATAAACTTCCTCCTCTAAAATGGTGCCTGTCGATCTTTGAGGAACAGCAATGAAAAGTTGACTAAAACCAAAAGGGTTAAAAAATTACTGCTACTCCCGCCAAAACACACCTGCCACTCAGGGCGAAGCAAGCCAGGGCTTGGGGCTTTGTGGACAGGCTCCGCCCCAGGGAAGGCAGGGTGCACCCAGGGCTGGTGCAGAGAGGTCCCCACCTCCCTTCACTCCCACTTCCTCCTCTCCTCCTGCTTCCTCCTCTGCTGACACAGATAAGGATCACCTCACCTTCTAGGGACAGCCAGGGGGAAGTGAGTCAGTGGGAAGTGGGAGGAGGAGTGAAAGGGCTTTATGACGTGCTGTGACATGACTGGGGTGACATGACTCACCTCAATTGCAGGAACCAAAGGATGTGCGTGGCCACGAGGCAAGCAACCGTACGGTGCTGGTTTTGGATTTGGGCAACCGCTGGTGTGTGTTCCTGCAGAAATCAAGGGACAAGGCCATGTGGCCAGGGATACCCTCCAAACAATGCCCTACCAAATACTGCAAGCCTGCAGACACTGAGCAGGTGGTGGCGGGCCAGTCACCTTCACAGTCCCCAAAAGGTCAGTCTGACCCTCCTACATCAGAAGACGTCCATCTGTTTCCCCCGCCCCTCAGATCCCCGCCTCCTTCTGCAGAAGTCCCACCCAGGGACATTCTGGAGACAGGGTCACTTAACTCACCCAGCTACACCCAAGATGGTGACCTCCAGAACTGCCTATCACATTCCTCTCTTGTCAGGCTTCGGGGGCAAAGTGCCTGCCGCCCACTCCCAAGAAGCTGCAAAGGATTCTTGAGCTGCAGTTGCACAGAGGAGACAGGGCTTGGACTCACGGGGACCCCAGCCCTCAGTGAACCGCAGGGCTGGGTCAGGAGCCATCTCCCCAGCCCCCTCCCTCCGTTCCTCTCCACTTCGGCTCACACTAAGGTGGCACGTTTCTGCTGCGACTCCCAAGGTTCCCTGCACCAGCCTGCTCCTGGGAAACTCCCAGGAGACGGCCACCACAGCTCTACTCGCTCTCCGGTGCCTCCTCCTGCTCTTGCTCTCCCGGGATTGGCAGGAGTCCGTGACTTGTGGCACCCTGAGGGTGATCACCCCTCTCCAGATGCACTGAGCTCAGGGTTTCTTTCCCTTTCAGTTCGGAGCCTGCCCCCAACACCAGCCTCCAGCCTCGCCTTTATCTGTCTCTGGATGACATCACCAAGTGTGTGTGTGGGGGTGGGGCAGGGGGGCCTCCTATTGTTCGATGACAACGGAGCAGCGCTCTGCTTCTCTCTCAGAGCCACGGTTGGGCAGCAGCGTGGGCTCCGACAACTGAAAAGCAAAAACAGAGCCCGACGACGTGAGGCAAGAACTCAACAGGACGGTAGGAAAGGTAGCCCCTGTGGAAAAGGGGAAGGCTCCATCCACTTCCACTGCTCAAAGCACCGTAGGCAGCAAGGGACGGTGACCCTCCCAACCAGAAAGTTCCATTCTACAAGCAAAGCCACCAACCCACGGGTGTTAACTGCCAATGAGTGTTGGGTGACAGAGAGGTTCCTGACCACAGGAAGTAGCGGCTGAGACTGGTCGCCAATTAGGACAGGTGGGTTTTATACATAATCATGGGGGGAACCACTCGGCCCCATTCTTGTATACGAGAAAGTAGTGGGATGAGGGAGGGACTGGGGAGGGGGGATAAACCAGGCCAATCATGCTGGCATCTGACCCCCGAGTGAGCAGGAGGGGGGACATGAGGTGTGGGTACCCGGTTTCTGGGTCAACCTCAGTCCCCGTGTACACAGTCAGGGTACATTCGATGAAACTGAGAAAGAACTGATGATTTTAAGAGTCTCGGAGTGATTAACAAAGCCATGGATTTCATAACCCAGGAGGAGAGCAAAGCTGTCCCCGAGGCTCTCAGGAAACACTCTGACTCAGGAGAGAGTAGAAAACCCGAGTCTCTCATCCACAGGAGACCGGGCCGAGGACAGAAGGGGAGGTCCAGAAAGTCAGAGCCCTGAGAAACTTCCAGAAGCATCACAAATGGCGAGCCGTCTGAGTGATGGATTTTCCAGTGCCAGGCCTGTGGAACACACCGGGCTCTGTCTCCCGGGCCCTCGGTGGAGTCTGCTCTTCACACAGAAGCCTCCGTGAAGGTTTTCCTCCCCAAGAGCAGAGGGAGCTGTGAAAATAAAGAAAACGGGTGAATTCTCCTGAGCGTGAGATCCTGAGGGGCGGAAGTCTTAGGAGCCGGAGGCCAGGAAGGCAGATAAGTCTCCAAAACCCTCCCTACATCTTGAGGAAGGCCACTGACTTTCCATAATTTGTGGAACAACAAACCAATCTCACCTCGTTCTTAAGAGTTGGAGTGCTATAATTTGGATGTGACCCCCAAAAGCCCATATGTTAAAAGACTTGGTCCCCAGCCTGTGCTGCTATTGGGAGGTGGTAGAATGTTTATGGGGTAGGGCTGCTTGGAGGTCCTTAGGTCACTGGGACGTGCCCTTGAAGGCAGTGCTGGGACCTTAGCACCTTTCTGTCTCTTTCTTTTCACTTTCTGGCCAAAAAGGAAGCAGCTTCCTCTGCCCTGTGCTCCTACCTTGATGCACTGCCTTGCCACAGCCCCACAAGCAAGGGGGCCAACTAACCACCGACAGAAACCTCCCAAACTATCAGTCCAAATAAGTCTTTGCTCTTTTTAAATTGATTTTCTCAGGTATTTTGTTATAGCACAGAAAGCCAACATAGGTAACATCCTATGTCATATGAATTGAGTGCACATTTATATTCATGCTTCTGTTTTTTTTTATACAGGGATAGGAAAGAAAAACATGGCTATTAAAGTATTCAAACCTGCGGTGTGTCTCAATCTACAAGTGCCTGAAAATACTTGTAGCATGCTGGTTTCCATCGTAGGTTCTCTGGTAATGGTACTTCACAAACTGTCCAATGTGAAGATCCTACAGGCTGATGTGTGGCCCTACTGTGTGTGTGGCTTGTATGCAGCTGGTGCCACATGGAACTCAACACAAGAACTCAACAGCACCACAATCTGATTTATTCCCTTTTCAACGAAACAAGCCCAAGGTGAATGCTTCATCCGATGCTGTTGCAATATCATGCTGCTAAATAAGAAAGTTTCCAAACTCTTAATTGCTGTGTCCACTGGTTCTAGATCTGCACCAGTTCACTGATGGACATGGGTTGGGACAGCAGTTTCTTTTTATGCTCTCCACTAAGGGCACACAAATAAATGGTGGATTCTTGTTCTCAGGGAGCTTACAAGCTTGGAAACACAGTAACTGAAATACAGGAAATCATAAAATCTAGTTCTAAGGCAGAAACTGTTCATTTCAAAGTGAATTAGTCAATAACACAAATTAGGAGTTTGAGAAAACAACTTGGGGAAACCAGACGAATAGGAAGGAAAGAAAGAGAGAAAACTAGATCTAGGAAGAAAGCCCAAGAGACGTTTATTATAGGGAGAGACCTTGACCTTGAATGGCATTTTGAAAGCTGTTTGAGATCAAGACAGTTACATCTCACTTCGAAAATGGTAGTAAGCCTATGAGGTAATACATGCCCAATTGACTCCATTTAGCCACTTCACAATGTACGTATACCTCAAAACAACATTTTGTACATGATAAGTATGCGCAATCCTTTATCTGCCAGTTAACATTCTTCAAATGACCTTAAATCCTTGCAAAGGAAAAAAACAAAAACAGAGATCAGAATAATTACAGAGAAAACTTCAGCATTATATAAACAAAGACAGAGAGGTCTGAGTTTTCTATGTGAACTGAAGGGTCAGTAAGCAGATCTGTTTGTCAGGAGAGGAAAGTTGGTTCAGAAAAATAATGAGCAAGCAAGCGGGAAGGACAGGTGGGTCAGAATGCGGAAACACTGAATGTCAGAAATACAGCACAGGCTCATCCCGTACACTGCAGACAAACGAGAAGCAGAAGGAGACAGGGGACCACACTTCATGACGACAGATTCAGTCCATACATCATTCAGCAATCCCTGGGAGGCACAAGAGACCCGCCTAGATGCTAAGAGTGTGCAGGCTGCACCGCGGGGCAGAGAGGCAGGTGTGGAGGTTAGAGCACAGGGTGAAGGTCAAACCCTCCCACCTGAGCCAGGACAGCCAGGAATGAGGAAGAAATGGGATAAATCCAAGAAGTGATTCCAAGCAGGGGAAGAAGGTACAGGGCATCTTTCAGTGTTATTTGCATCGCAAATGGGGGATGACGTCCACCACCCCTCCCCCACCCATCCCCAGACTCCACCCATCCTTCAGGAATCAGCTCCAGTCTCATTCCCTCTGCAGACCCTTCCCCAGGAGGGGTCATGGACATCCTCCACAGCTTCCGACTCCTACTGTCGAAGTGATTGGTTTCAAGGGAAGGTAACTTGGAAAACGGAAGCCGCCGGGCGCTTTCTAGGTTGGCTCCCTATCAGAACCTCTTCTTGGGGAACAGCAGAAGGGCGTGCCAAAGCCCAGATCTTCTTGGCCAAGGCTAGTTTCCACCATGGTGAAGCCCACGTTCAACATTAGGTTCAAATCAAATAATATACACGTAGACGCATGCTTCATTCACCTCTATCGACAAATCATCTCATATAAAAAATATCTAACACAAAATAACTTTATTGTCTGGGTCTATTGGGACACTAGCCCGTGTCTCAGTTGCCAACATTGGGGACACACCAGGGGACAAGGAACAGCAGGTGCAGGAGCTCAACTGCTTCCTTCTCCTGGGGCTGTGGTTTGGATAAGGGTTGAGTGGGTCACCCAAAGCTTTGCATGTGGGAATCTGGGTCCTCGGTGTCAGGGGGTTGCAGAGTGAGTTGGTTCAGGAGAGTGGGCTGTTATAAGTGAGCCGGGCACCGCCCCTGAATCTTTCTGGCTTCCTGTCTTACCATCGATAACTTCCACATGCACTCCTGCCATTAGGATGTCACCTGCCATGAAGCCATCACTAGATCCAAGCAGAAGCTGGTGTCATGCTGGCAATCCTCCTGAGCCTTGAGCTAATAAACCTCTTTTCTTTGTGGATTGCTCGGCCTCAGGTATTCTGTTGTAGCAACACCAAGTAGACTGACACACATGATCATTCCCAACTCCTCCTTGATCTGAACTAGTCAGGAAGGGGTCACCATGAACTTCTAAGATTCCCATAAGAATCATGCTCAGTTGTAGACACTGTCAGGTATCAGGACACTGCAGATACTAAAAGGAAGATGAAAATCATTTGCACAAATCATGATAAGACAATGGCCAAAGGTTGCTATCTCTTGTGGGTCATACTTATCTTTTGATAAACTAAAATCTAGACAGAGTCCTCCAATGCTTTATACATATGGGCATATATAATAACTATGATTCTGTTTATGTGTGTCTGTGCATGTATACATATAGGTATGTTTGTGTGTGTGTGTATATATGTATGAATACACTTATACACGCACACACACACACACACACACACACACACATATGGATACGCCCTCAATAGAACTCTCAAAATAACTTTTTAGGTTCTTAAAATTAAACACTGAACTCTAACGAATTAAATTTGCATATCATGGTTTTATATCAGCATGTAGTTTTACATGAACATTAAGGAAAGTCTTGTTTCCTACAAAAAAGTAGTGGTTCTCCCCGCTGGGGAGGTGGGGGTTCTGGAGAAGAGGACAGTGGTCACCCCTCTGTCCTCTGAAATGCTACCCCAGGTTCTGCAATCCAGGGGGAGAGGCAGGGTGTCCTCCCTGGGGCTGAAGGAGGAAGCCCAGAGTGAAATTCAAGTAAATTAAGCCACCTAAAGGGCGCAGAGGGGGAGGGGGAACAGCCAGGTCCTGCCATCGTGAGGCTCTGCGTCACCACCGGCCCCAGAAACGACGCAGCCAGCTGACCGTGAACTGAGACCTCTGGCAACAGGGGCCCTAATGGAGGTTTCCTCTTTTAAGTTGTTTTTCTCAGGTATTTTGTCACAGCTACAGAAAACGAACACGTGTCTCATGGATCTCATTCCAGAGGGCTTTGGACACAGGCGTGGCACAGCCTGTCACAGCATGCAGGGGTGTGTCCTGGCAGGCAGAGAACCAGACAGGGACAGACAGTGATGCAATCAGAAAAAGGGACGGTACTGGAAAGGGCCAACAGAA